TAGCCTCCTACTTGGAGTATGCTTACAAGAAGTGGTAAGCAGCACTCTGCAAGTTAAAGCTTATGAGGGGATAGAGATTTAGGTGTTTGTGCTGTCCTGATTGGGGGGCGGGGTGGAAAGATGCTTTTGAGGTGATTCTGTACTGTGCTTTTCCACGCTTTCCTGCTCTCGGCTGGGCACTGACTGCACAAGGGTGCAGTTCCTAATGTGCTCTATCGTTTTATCTGTTCACCTGGTAACTGCTGAAAGGGGAGTTCCAACGTCAGCTGGCAGCAGTGATCACTCGGTGACTGGTCTGTCTGCAAACCAATCTGATTTGCTGCATGGCAACATGATCACTTGGTCCTGCAGTGCCCCGGGGACATGGCAGTAACTCATGCAGAGAGGAAGCTGCTAGAGAGAAGCAGAATGACAGCCAGTCAGGCTCTGTCTTCAGGATCTCTTTGCAGTTCAGTTTTGCAGGTGAAGAGGGGGTTCCCTGCACCATGTGACACTGTCAGCTCTGCGGTGCTGGTCATTTCTGCACATGGGGCCAGCTACAACTCCCATCACTTTCATTCCAAGCAAAGGTTTTGCTCTCATTCCAAGGGGTCCTGTCCCGCTCTCCAGTTTCCTCACGGGTGTCTTCATAGATGTCTTCTAGATACACACGTTAGAAGCAGCCACGTCTGTGCAGATTGTCAGCTGGTTGGGGCACTTGCTACTCAGTCTAACCAAGACCCGGGTAGTGCTACAGTCCCTTGCGTCTCCTCTAAGCTGACATCATGCCCTCTTTGTGCACAGGAAAAACAGTGCATTTTAGGGACTTGTCTAATCAGGAGATGCCATCTTAACGCATCTAGCAATGTTCAAGGTGACTATTAATGCAATAGGGTTTAAAATGAAGGTATGACTGCCCTTCTCCCCTTGCTTCACCAGTGATAGTGTTGCCCTTGTCTGTATGTAGGTATAAAAGAGTCCGAAAGCAGCATGGAGGCAATTCCTTGTTAGAGCCTTTCTCCCTGGACCAAATATTTTTCCAGCAGGCTGCCCTGCTGGGGCTCAGCCTGCAGAGCAGAGAGCTGAGATTGGCTGCAGCTCTGTCGTGGGCTGCCCTCCGCGTGTTAACTGCAGCAACTGCCCCTTGTGTGTTGCAGCAAGCGCGAGAACTGCAAGCTGCAGGACGCCGGCAGCCAGCACCTCTCCGTGGAGTTCTGCAGCTACCCGGCCAGCATGTCCCGCTACATCGACTACCGCGCGCTGGAGGAGGCAAAGCACAACGCGGGAGAGGCAAATAAGGTGCCTGTCTGCGAGAAATTTTCGGTAAGTAACTTGAATCCCAGCTTCCTACCTGGCTACATGGAAAGAGCCAAGCGTGGCCAGATCAGGAGATGGTAGGAAAGCGCTTGGGAACATCAGTTTGCTTCTTGTATGGTACAAGGAGAGAAGATTTTGAAAGTTGAGGTGACGTCAGAGCTGAAAAGACAAACCTCATGCTCTGCTCTGAAGCAGTGAATTCCACAGGTTCAGGAGAGGCCGGGATTCAGAGAGTCTCCACAGTCCTGGACAGCAGGATGGTATCAGTCACCCTACCAGCTGCATCTTGGAAGGGCCAAAAATTCTAACTGACTTTGTCTTGTCTTCTAAGCAAGAAAGTCTTTTCTCTCCTGTGTCTCTGTTCCCAATACAACCACCTTACCCATCTGCTGTAGGATCCACAGCCTCTCCAGTGTTGGTGCTGCCCCTTGGATCATATCCAGTTTGATTCTTCAGGGGAAAAAGGAGCCTTTCCTCGTGTTGCTCGTTACTGCCATGGAACACTATAGCTTGGGGGGATCTCTGGGAGTCTTGTGTCCAACCTCCAGCTCTCAGTTGCTCAGAGTCTTGTCCTGTTTTGTTCTACCTGTGAACTAATGGTTGATGCGTTAGTAAGAAGCATAAACTTGGAATCTGCTTTGACAGGCAGATTACTGCTGCCCTTAGCGAGGAGGCTGGTGGCTACTGACTTCTCTGTCTCTCCTTAGGCCTATGGATGGTGTCCAAATGGGACGAAGTGTCCCCAGTCTCATAATATTGACCTCATAATTGATGAGGATGACAAGGTTTGGGAGAAGCGGAAGAAACGGAAGCACAAATGGAAACGGCGGAAGAACGTAGAAGGGTCTGCAAAGGAAGCTGAACAGGGAAGCTCAGGGCAAGAAATGGAGCTAGCTCAGAACGGGGAGGAGGGACCGCCGCGGAAGCAGAGCTGTCCCTGCGAGCCAGCAGCTGCCATGGAGCTGGCAGGGAGCACGGGCAGCGCTGGGGACAGGCACACGGAGGAGACCGACATGGAACCGGAGGTGAGCTCAGACACCCCTGCACACGCCGAGGGGGAGGAGGATTCGGGGAGCACTGAAGCAACCGCTGCCCCCTTGGAAGCCTCTGTGAGCCCCTCTGCCAAGGGGAATGGCTTTGACAGCGACCAGGGGGAAGGGAAGGCCGAGGGCCCTGCTGGGGCAGGCTCGGGCGGTCACCCAGACGGCACCCAGGGGACCGAAACAGCCTCCGCTGCAGGAAAGCCCAGGGAGTCCTCCCAGGGGGGAACCCACCGCGCTGGCTTCGACGCCTTCATGACTGGCTACGTCATGGCTTACGTGCGGATGCTCAAGAAAGGAACAGGCACGGACGATGACGGGGGGCCCTGGCTGCCCGAGTGTCATAATAAACTGTACCTCAGTGGGAAATCGGTGCCACTTCAAATAGTGAAGAGCTCCTTTTCCAAGTCTTCCAAAGCTCACAACCAGAAGATGAAGTTGGCCTGGGCCAGTGGCTAGAAGACTCACAGAACTGTTTTGTTCCCCACTTTCTTCTTCCTCCCTAAAGTATTGAAGGTTTTGACTTCATTCCATCAAGATCTGACCCGGAGAGAAGCACATTTCTTAGTCCTGCTTTTGTTTTAACTTCTGCCACATTAAATTGCTCTCCATAAGCGTTCCCTGTGGTGTCCATTCCTGAGCAGCCTGAGCTGTGAAGAGGGGGTGAGGCTGGAGAAGGATGAAACGTGCACTTCTCCAGCTGCAAACTCCAGCATTCTGGATCCAAGGGGATTCTATAAGCAAATGAGGGCTGTCTTTTGGAGAAAAAACACACACACCTGGCCTTCTTGCAGAAAATGAAGGGGGTAATCCTTTGGTAAAGTAAGTTAGCAGACAGAAGCAGCCTCCTTCCTTAAACTTTGTAACATGCTTAAATCACAGCCTCCTCCTATATTTTGCTTTTATCAGTGTTATCCTCTGAGAGGAAAGAGTCCTCAAGCCTCATGGACTCAGCACCCTAACACTTCACTAAGATGTTGTAGATAAGTAACACTGAATAAGAACAACACTTTGCTCATAATTCAGCACAATAACAAAAGATTCTGTCCCATCCCCAAACCAGTAGCATCATCCATAGATTAAGCAAGCACTTGAATGAGCTGTTTTTGTTTTTTTTTCAAGACTCAGTGCTTGATTTTATTTTTATTTTGAAAGCAAGTTGGGAAAATTTACAAAACCTGACCAAGAAAAAATTATGAAAATATTTAACTGGATTCATCTTTGGTTACTTCTTATTGCAGTTCCAATAAAACATACACCATTTTTATAGCTCAAAAAGTCAGAAGGTCAATCAACATAAAAACAAGACGTGCTTTCTTTACATATTCATAAATATCCACAATATTAGAAAAGTTGTTTTGCAAAGATTTTTTTTTCCTGGCAGTGTTAACTTACTATTATACACAGGCTACCAACTTCTTTCTAAGCCTTTAATTACAAGTTGAGCTATTTACAGTCTGCAAAATATTAAGACGTAAAACTCCTTCATAAATATGAAAATAGATCATCTTGCAAAGGTCTTTTAAACTTACTTAATCAAATATCTGGCTGCCCCTCATCCCCCCAAAAGTTATTTGTTTTGCATAGAAATGTAGTGACATGCAATATAAACAATAGCATTAAGTGCAAACAGGAATTATTCAAGTGTCTTTAGTTGTACTGGCAAAAATACCAATGTTCTGTTACACAAAATACATCAATACCTTTCCAACAAATATAAGTCTACTAACCCCCTTGTCTTGCAGCATTACTTTTGAGGGGCAGCAATTCACATGCATTCTCTTAGTTGCATTTTATCCACCTGCAACCACAACAAAAATAGCTTATAACAGACATTTAAATGAATTAAACATAGGAAGATTTAAAGTGAATTAAAAACATCTTAGATCTCTTCAGGGAACCTAGCAGTGTGTAGAAAGTCTTTTAAAAGAGCAAGGATTGCTTCTGTAAGAAAGTCAAAAATCACAATAAAATCCATTCAGAATAAAACTGTCACATCACTATAAAACAAGGAGTTTGCTGACCACGTGGATCACTGTTCGCATTCATGTTCATCAGTATCTCTCAGAAAATGGCCCCCAGTAGAAAAGCACCCTCAAGTGGGCAGAAAACCTAGAAATAGTTACTAGATGCAACCTGGATTCAGCTTTACGTGACCTAAGGGATGAGACGCAGCGAGCGCCAGCTGCGCTGTGGAGACGCTGGGTTTTAGCAAGCCTGTGGCTGTTGGGAAGGTGGCCTTTTACTCCAGCTTTACACACCTGCCTCTTGCCCAGCACAGACCAGGGCTCTGGGAACGCGCTGAGCGTTATTCCTTGGCGCTTCGGACACCTCCGCCGCCGTGTACAGAGCTATGCCAGTCAGCAGCGGTGCCCTCTGCGTATCAGCTGGCTTTGCTTCAAGGGTGGATTTTTCAGAAACAGAATTTTAGCCATGCTGCTTTACAAGAGCGCTGTTAAGGGCAGCGAAATATTTTAAGAGACGGCTGAGCAAGAACCCAAGACGAGGTCAGTGGGACGGGTGCCACAGAGGCACCTCCAGCCCGACCGCACGGCCCGTGCGCGAGGAGGGCTCAGAGCCTCCAGGGCAACAGACTCCACAGCGGAGGTGCCAGCGCTGGCTCACGGGGCCAGGACAGGCCCCAGGGCACCCGCGGGACGCTGGGCAGCTTCCTTGCGGCCTGGTGACCCCCCAGGAAACGTGTTATTGCTGGTGTGTCTGAAGTCACACAATTCTGTGTGTCTCGTGACAACAGAGGCTGGTGCTGATGGTTTTCCTCCTGAAAGGTTACAATTTTGGAAAGGAAAAGGAAAAAAAAAGTGCAAGGAAAAAAGGAAAAAGCAGGCACCAGGCAGACAAGTAGCTGGTATTTGAGTCCTTCTGGCTGGTTTCTTGTCCTCAAGAAAATCACGTGCACTCAGTTCCAGCCATACAAGCTGCTCTTCACTCCAAAGACATCAAAACAGCAGACAGGATACACAGGACAGACTACAGATAGCACCTTAGAGAGGGCAAGCAGTGTGGGTCAAGGAAATAGTCTTGGTAAGGATTAATGTTCTCTCTTTAAAACTGCAAAGAATGGCCTAATTTGGCAAAGACTGTACTAAACAATTTAAGGGCACTGGGTTTCTCATTTAATTCTTTGCAGCCACTGCTCAGTTTCAGGCATATTTCACAAGAGAAGGTCTTGTAACTCCCCGAATAGTTACCTATGCCTCCAGAAAGCTCAGTATCTCAGCCAAGAAAGAACATCAGGCTTTCTGCATCCTCCTTTCCGTGAGATGAGGAAAGAAGGGACAGTCTTGCTTCCATCAGGACATACCAGCTTACATTTTCCCTCTTCACAAGAGGGCAACAAGAGTGTAACCAGCTACCTGGGGCAAAATTCTGGACTGCATCACCACCTGTCTGCTCTGCAGGCGGGCAATGCCTACCTCAGTTAGGAATGATAACTTAGATTAAACAGAAAAGAGAGAGAACAAACAAACGAGCTAATAATGACAGTGGGAAAAAAAAGGCAAAAAGTTGCACAAATATCATCATACAACAAGTTCTCCCGAGAACTGCAGTAGGACCACAGCAAGGATTTCTGATGCTGTTTCCAGCCAGCAGCCATATGCCACTGCTTCTTTCACATATACCTGCTGGTGGAGAGAAAAAAATATATATGTGTTCACAGACTTCAGTGATAGGAGAAATCAAAGACGACATCTTTGTCAGAAAAATGGGGAAAAAAAGATTTCAGCTGGATAAATTATTTTTCGTTGCTTTGCTGAGCCAACCGCCCTTCCGCAGGCGGCCCCGGCCCTTGGCCGGCGCGGGGGCAGCTCCCGCTCTGCGCAGGGAGCGTCACTCCTGCAGTGGCATCAGTGCCACGGGATGTGCTGCCAGGGAGGGAGCCGAGCGCGGCCCTTCCAGCTCGGTGCTGACGGCCAGGAGTGACCCAGCCGTGGGCAGCTAAGCATTCTGCAGAGAGAGATGGTCTCTGTTCAGCCCCGTAGAGGAAAGTGCTCACGTTCCTCCAAGAGCTTTCACTGATGGCTCCCCAGGAAGCACGGGAATGGCAATGCCTGGAACATGGCTCCTCTCGTGCCTTCTTGTCCCCAGGGCAAAATCGTCCTCCTCCACAGCTGGGCTGAGGTACGTGGATTGCTGGGCAAGGAAGTGAGCAGTGTTCACTGCGCTGGTATCCAAATCCTATGGAAAACGAAAGGCCAGGGAACAGATACTTCTTGTTAATTGGAAAATACCTGTCAGGTGACTGAGCCTGCACAGTGCTACCAGCAGGAGGGGTTTGGGTTCTGCAATTTTTGAAACAAGAGCTGTTTGATGCAGCAGGAGCAGTGTTCACAGCCACTCGGGGACCAGACAGCGTTCCTGTCTGCACACCACGGCTCTGGAAGATCTCTATCCCATTTCTAGATTGGGGGAAGCTCTGATTCATGCACACTGCTGGCAGGACGTTAGCACAAAAGCTGCAGTGGTTTGAGCAGCTGGTTAAGTCAGAGGAGGAGGGAAAATGTCAGGGCCTCTCTCTCACCAACCTGGAGCTTAAGGCCCTAAAAGCTTCCATGCCGAAATCCAGGCCAAACTGCTTCACACAGACCCCAGCTGCGGGTACTACTGCTCGGAAGAAACTATGGGGCGTCACACGGACATCCGGGCGGGAGCAGTTCTCCCTCCTAACACAAATCGGGGAAGGGGATAAGCACAACTTGAAATAAAGTCAAAAGAATCTGTCTCTCCCAACGCTGTCTGCAGCCTTCCGTTTGACAGCCCATTTCTACAATCTGCTGAGTCTGTTTCAAACGCGTGAGACCCAGCATTGTAGAAAAACAGTCAAAGTGATTGGGAACAACAGTTCCCCCAAGGTCATGTCCTGTTTGCGCACTCTGTTCAAATGTCACAGGTTGACTGTGCGCTGCTGCTTGCGGAGGTGTTGGAGGAGGTCAAGGCCACCAGGGCAGCGCCGTCCCCGTCCTGCTCACCAAACGGCCGGGCCTCTCTCCTCAGCTCCCTGGAGGGGCTGACACTGAACAGAGGCTTCGCAGACTCCAGCACAGTATTTTTCTGCAGCTCGTCTTCCACCTCCATCTCTTCAGAAGGGGGACAACCTGCAAACGCCTGTGAGGAGCCGTGTCCCTCCGAGTTCACCGAGTTCTCAGCTGGGAGCCTTTTGCAGGCTAGTGACTCAAGTTGGGCCAGGGCTGAAGGCTGATTACGTGCCGCGTCTTCACACGTGTTCTCAATGGGATAAAATCCATTTTCCTCCTGGGGCACTGGCCCATCTGAACAGTCCATATCCTCCTCTTGTCCTGGAACGGGAAGAAATTCTGGCCTGTGCAGCTTGGCTTGAAAGGGGGGAATCTCTGCCACGCCGTATTTACTGCTGCTCAGGAGTTTCTGCCGGACCTCTGCGCCCAGCTGGGCCGGGTCGCACCTGCCCACGGTTGAGGAGAGCCCTCTGAAGAGGCCGTACTCCTTATGCGGCAGCTCGGGGGAGATGGGAAGCGACCTGCATCTCCTCCCCGGGAGCAGGGAAAGCTCCTGCCAGTCCGTGCTGCACGCCTGCCGGAGCTGGCACTGGCTGGCCCTGAGGCCACCGCCTGCCTCCGGGGAATGCAAGTCAAACACGAGCGAGATCACGGACTTGCTTGGCATGTCGAAGAACTTGATCTTGCCCCCCTTGAGGTCCTCCCTGGCATTGAAGGGATTAACTTTCCGGCCTAGCCCCTTGTTTGGCGTATAGTAGGGATCCTGCACGTTTATCTTCCGGGAAGGCTTGCGGGAGAAGATGTCCGACTGGCTGCGGGACAGCCAGATATTCCGACGTGGGCGAGGTGACTTGGGTGGGATTTTATCATCCAGGGAACTCAATCGTTTTACTCCTGGTCCTTTTTCAATTGACCCTGAGCGGAAGAAAAGAAATACCCTTAGCTTAAGGAAGTTTTATGCCTGCATGCTTGCTTCCAGAGCCTTCGTGAGAACCGTAGAGGAAAAGGTGCATTTCTGATGTTCCAAAATACCTTGCACAAGGACACGTTTGCTGGTTTCTTACAAGTTTCTGCACAAACACAGGACGTCATTCCCTTCACCCCAAGATAGTACTGGTTTCTAACTTAGTAACTGGCAGACATGTTCACAGCATGTTTTAAATATAAAAGTAGCCAAAACTTACATTTAAGATATTCCCTCCACTTTGTCAAACTAGTTAAAAGTCATCTTGAAGACCCAAGGAAATGCAAATACTACTAATGTCATCTTATTTCCCTAGGCAGTGGAATTAAGGCTGCTTCTTTATCATTTAACGTTCAAATCTGCCACACACCTTATGGAAGGTGCCAATTCAGCAGAACAGTACTGTTCTGTCTCTGTGTACAGAGGAAAAAAAAAAAAAAAAAGGAAAAGAAAAACTGTACAAAAACTTGGTATGAATGAAGACGTCTTCTCTCTCTTCCAGCTCCTATGTAAATGCTATATTTTAATGTCCCTTCAAACTGCCAGTATAGTGAATGGCAGAATCGGTACATAGTGGGATATATGATGCACATACTACATATACATAGGTAATGTAGATGTAATATATACATATATAAAATACACACATGTGTATATATGTACATACACGCACCCACAAATACACAAAAATATATACAAATGTGTGCATGTATGTATATAAGATGCATTACTAGAAACGGATGGTAGTTGTTTAGGATATAGTTGTTTAGGAAAAGATGCTAATTTGCTGTCTGGATCATCTGGCTGCTACTGGCTCTCAATGTGCCTCTAAAATGCTATGGTAGAGCAGAGAGAGCTGAATGGATAGGAAGAGGAGGTATTATCTCCTTTACCTACCATTTGCAGAATGAACACGTGTGGATTTCTGCTATTCCCTGGAAATACTCCTGGTTTAGATTAGGTGCTCCACTCAGGAAAGACTCTGGGACTCCCAGAACTGTTAGGGTAACACTGCCAGATGCAAATCTGAGAGATGCTCCAGAAGGAGCATGCCAGGAAAGAGAAAAGAATTCACGTTCCTTTTAACCAGCATCTCTCTCTCATGCATTTCTGCAGGGGGAGGACTACAACATGCATATGGCTCCATCTGGCTTGGAATGCACAGTTTACTTTAAGATTATAGATATACATATGAAACCATTCTACTGTTCTCTATGTTTCCAATGGGAGAAGTCTACCAATGCAGAAGATATCTAAGTCAGAATGTTCCCCAATCTATAAAAACATTTGTAGTTTGCTCCCCACACGAGGTGGCACTAGACTGCTTCATAGAAAGCATTCGAGCCTCTCATGTTCAAAATCATTTTCAGGCTTAGGATAACACCATTCATAAACTGTAAACAGTAACACACGTTTGAAACCCCTGCCTTCAAAATGTGAACACCAAACTCTCACCATCAGCCTGCAGTCGTCTCTGTGCTCATGCAGACACCTACCTTTGGGCTTTCTTTCGCTGTTGTCAATATTGAAAAATTTTCTCTCTCTCTCCGATTCCTCGTTTCTCAAACGGTTTAAAATATCCTCCAGTGTTTTGACAATATCAGTAAATGAAGGACGCAGCTTTGGATCCATCTGTGAATAGACATAAGTCAGAATTTCACGTGGATTTGTCGATGCTGTTCTAGCTTCATAGTTGACAGGGAGAGGCACAATTTGAAGGAGCTGAGGAAATTCAAGACAGGGTGGTGGCAGGAATGGAGAAAAGTCATGTTGTATCCCAGGTTTTCTCTCTCAAGTTTAATTATCAAACCATCAGCATTCTAGGATGAGGACACATTTTAAAGGGAAAGGTGGGAAGATGCTAGATTCGGCATTTGGAAGAGGATTGAGGGGTTGTTTTTTTCTATTCTTTTCAAAAGCTTTCTCAGTTTAAGGATTTCTCTCTGTGCTTCAGTTATCAGCCAGAAAGTATATATCAGCATAATTTCAAGACCCTGCCTGAAAGAATAAGAATTAAACAGAACAACTTGGCTATGACATTCATTAAAAGCTTCTAATTTTTCCATAAGCTCCTTGCGGCTTTAATTAAAATCCACATAAATGGCACTGCAGATTTCAAAGTCTAAAATGTTCTATCTTTGCTCTGTTAATTACCCCACAGTATGCAGGAAACGAGACTGGTTATGTAATTGGACAAAGTAGCACAGTACAAAAGTGTATCTTACTGATTGCCTAGGTAAAACTTCTCCCCCCTAGTCATTAGCATGTATTCCAACTCACCCTATTAGAAATGGACATAAAGTCTGACACTAAAGTGATACTGCAGAGCAAGCAGCTTAATTTAAGTTGTATTTTAGAAGGCATTTATTTAATCATTCTAAATACAACCCTAAACATACGTTTAACTCTGTAGGTAGCAGTGCCTAATTTGGCAGCTAAAAGTTAACTTCATTATGCTACTAAAAAAGATTCTGCTTGGCTCAGTTCCTGTTCTCCAGCCTTGGAAAGGCTTTTTCCTAAGGGCAGGCCCAGGCAGAGCTCATTCCCAGCACAAAGGGAACGCTGGTGCTTTGTAAACAAACAGCCTCCCCAAGACCCCCCTGACGCTGCCTTGCAGCTCCCAGCAGATGAAAGCACCCGAAGAGAACGGGTATGGGGCAATGCCAAAAACACTTTTAACACCGTGTAAGGGCACTCTCCCCACTTGTTTACGCTCTCGTCTTTATAGCACTCTTCTCTCTGCAAGCGTTTGTATTAATGCAAGCTGAAAAGAGAGCTCAGGGGCAAGGATTCCTATGCAGGGTACGAACGGATGGTGCTGCTTCTTTCAGCAGCAGTGCTGACATGAAACCAAAAGCTGAAAATCATGAGCAGAGCCAGGAATCAATGCCTGTTCTGATACTTCTTACAAATATTCTCTAGGACATGGTACTGTTACTGGCTCTGTTACTAGCAAACTATTCTGACAGAAAATTTTTAGAAGTAGCATCAATTTAAGGTGTGCAAATTGGCACCCTCAAGAATAGATCCCTTGACATTCCCAACTTCAGTTGAGACAGCTGAGCCTCAGGCTCTCTTATTTCAGATAAACTAGCTCTACTCTATAAATGGACTTGCACGCTCCTTTAAGGAACACCCACGAGACTGATCTTGGGAATTTTCAAACCACAGAAGACCTATCAAGGTACCCAGTACAATTACAACTTTGCTCAAAAACTAGCAGAAAGTTTACTCCACACTGTACATTGCCTTACTGATATTAAATCTTTTGGGTCCAAGTTTGTGTCTTTTTTTTTTTTTTAAACTAGAGATTTGGAGGTTTATCCTTCTTTCCAAAGGGCAGCATATAGACTTTAGAGTAATTTACTGCCTTCTCTTTATTTGTCTGTGCCCTCTCCATCCCCTGTCTTTGTGAGCAACAGGAGAGCTGTTTCTTCACAGCTCAGGAGGTCTGTGCACAATAACAGCTGGATTCTGTCTGCCCAAGGGCCAGCCAGCCTCAATAGCAAACAACTGGTTATGATCAGCCTGAGCAGCCTGCACGAAGCTGCTCAGTGCGCCAGGGTTGTCTGTTTGGCATGACAGAATATGGAACTGCAAAAGTAGAGGATGGGCCTTTTTGCAGAGGACAGGATATAAAAAGCGACAAGGGACTTCCTGGGCTATCAGAATCTATGCCCTTTTATAGCTCAGCACTTTCAGTTTCCTCTGTAAATGCTTTAAGCTCTGACTTCAAAAACCAGAGCCAGAGAAGTCCAGTTCTGACCCCTCCTCACCAGTTTGGATACTCACATTACAGCAGTTGAAGGCCAGCTGGAGGAAGTCGGGGGGACAGTCTCCCACCATGTGCTGGAAGGCATCGTAATCTAACCCAAAATTCTGTACAAACAAGAACATGGCACAGAGCACAGAGATACGAGTGAGGTCTGCTATCTAGCCCAAAGCATCGTCATTTCAGCTCCCGCCATGGAGTTATCAGAAATAACCATGAACACCATCTCTGCGGGCAGCCTCAAACAGAGGATTTTGAGAAAACTTCATGCAGTGAACTGCAGCATTCCCACAGGGATTATTTGATGTAAAATACCTGTAAGAGAATGATTTGACTTCAAAGTCCATCATTCTTCCTGGAATTAACTGCAATTCACTGCACTGGAAGTCTTGTCTGTGTGGTTCTGGAAGTGATTTTCTATATTATTTTTCACTATGGTTACTTCCACAGTGTAATCAAAAGCCTGTTTTGAAACCAGAAGCTTAGGTATCCTGAAAACTTAGCAAGGAAAACCGTTAACTTTTCAGGGGATGATACTAGTAGATTAGTAGTACAAATTGCCCAGTTCCTTAAACACATTTACACAAGATGTGAAAGACTCTTATTCGCTGCACTTCAAATCCTAAGCAATTTTGCATTTTCAGAACTGGAGCAAGAGACAATTTGGAAGGCTACAATACAGAAGACCAAAGCTACCCTACAGATGAGCCCCCCATCCTCCCCCAAAAGCCAGCTGAAGAAAATAGATCTTTTATTTTGTCAGTTTTATATCAGATCCACGATGCTTAGTCCAGACTATGCTAAAATAAGGGTTCCTGCCCCTTTCACAAGGGGAGCTGCTAAGAGGACAGAGCGTGTCCCGTGTGCGCCCAAAGTGCCCAGCTGGGAACTTGACAAGTCTACGGAGCCACCGCTCCACAAAGGGAAGGTCCCTGCCGTGCTCTCGGTGTCCTGCCAACTACAGACACGTCTGGGGCTTCAGACAGGGTTTCCCATGAAGATTTTAGCTGGACAAAGGCTGAGATTGCATCAAAATGTCTTCAATGGAGCTTCTTACAGTAGTGGCACAGAAGAACAGCAGCTTTTCAGAGTCTTTTTTTTTAAGTAACACCTATTCATCATTATCTTTGGCAGACGTACCAAACAGCCATAGGCCATTATCACAGTATATTTACCAGCTCCCACCAAAGTACAAGCGTAACCACTTACTTCTGTACGAGGGAGATAGTCTGGATCTGCTTGTATTCTTGCAATAATCTCACACAGAATTATACCATAAGAGAACACATCCGCCTAAGGGGGAAAAAAATAAACAGCTGCATGGTTCAGCTCTGAACACTCAGTGTTCTTATCTGTCATTGAGTTTCTCCTTACCCCACGTAGTTACTGGAAACAAGCAAACCACCACAAGGCTTGCAACCACTAAAAACTGTCCTATAGCTTTTAATTTTCATGTGAGGAAACACATACTCATAGCATAGTGCTCCTGATGAACAAAGAGCAACAATAATGTTAAAACTTTCACACACAAAAATATTCAAACTATTGTTACTTCAAAAGTATCAAAAAAAAAAAAGGGCAAACAAAAAATCAAGAATTCCTTCCCTGCACAGGGAATAATAAAGTTATATTTGATATGTTACAGATGGGAATAATTTAAAACATAGCCAAAATATGACATGCCTATATATCACTGTGGTACTGTTTTGTTGCTGTTGTTTGTTCTAAGAACTTCATTTTTCTCTTCTCACTATTTAGCATGTCTGCAAAAAATGATGTCTTTCTCAAAGCTTGAGATCTGGTAACATTGTACCCAAGCATCAACCTCTGTGGAAATTTCCATGATGTTTAGTAATCATTTATCAGAATGCCCCTGGATTTGCACAGCTCCAGTTCCTCAGAGTCCCACCGTCTGAATTTAGCAAGTAAAAAAAATAAAAATAAGGGAGATGTGGAATACAGGTCTATAGAGCAGCAGACTGCCTCTCTCACCCCTTAGGTATCAGGCAAGCTTATATGCCAGCTCCCATGTTGACAGAGCTGTTTCCTCTTTAGTTCTCCATGTCCTGGGGCGAGTACAGAACATGGCACAATAGATTTGGGTACTTTATTATTAATTTGGGTCAACGGGAACTCTTAACAAAACTTTGAAATGGTAATTACCACATTCATTATCGAGGTAGCTACTGCTTTCCCCCAAGTTAAGAGCGCTACCAATTAAAGAGATTATCAGCTGCTGGCAAAAAAAAAAAAAAAAAAAAAGGTGCACGATGTGGGCGTTATCAGAGAAGGTCACACTTGTAGGGCTGAACTTGGACGTGTCTTAGAGAACGTCCTTGCATGCATGAGAGGAAAACCTTTGTAAAGAAGAGCTTGACTCAAAATACTGCTTCCAAAATCTAGTCTGATCTGGTCCTCCTCTGAAAGAAACATTTCCCAATAGCACAATTCGGAAAAACGAGAAATTCCTTTGCAGAACATTTTTACTTACGTATTTTATCTTTGACAACTGCCCGTTTTGTAGTTGCTGTTTGTTTGTTTTTGTAATTAAATTACATTTAAGTAAAATTAAATTTTTAAATTCTTTCAATTAAATTTGTAATTAAAAAAAATTTTCACGTTTACACAAAGCCCTCTTACTTCTATCCAGATTTCACTACGAGAAGTAACTACATTTCTGTTTAAAAACAAAAACCAATCAAACAAAAAAGCATACCCAGACATTTCTTATGAGATCTGATCAGGTTGGGTTGTATTAGGCAGAAATATGGTAAAGTTTGTCTAAATATTTGTTCTTTTAGAATGGGAGTATCTTAACAGTGAATTATGTTAAAAATACTTTTATTTCTGCATGAGAGGCCACAACATGAAATAAAATTATTAGCTCTTTAACCCATATTCTCCGTTAGTTTAATCCACCAAGTACAACAATATAACAAGTTAAATTGTCACCAATTTTTATGATCGTCCTAAATATTGTATTCAGCTACTGAAGACAAATATCTGACAACTGCAGATCACTTGTATGTACCTACCTTTTCATTGTAGGGTTCATCTCTGAGAACCTCTGGTGCCATCCAGAAGGGTGAACCCACCACAGGTAACTTCTCACTGCATAACATAGGTACATACATGCAGACAAATAGATGGATATACATATATACACACATACAGATAGATGTGCACACATATAGGCAAAGTGAGAGATGCACAGAGAGGGAGAGAGAAAAAATAACCATTAGGAAAAGCCTGTGGTGTTGGATACCATAAATTCAAGTATCTGGAGAAACTTTGAGCAAAAGAAAGCCTACACAAGCAGGCACCATAACATACTGTATTTTACATTCATTTCCTACTAGAGTTACTGGAACATTCTTTTATGTCTTCAAAGAATTTATTGTATTTCTAGTTTCTAAGTCCCTGTGCAAGGCCATGCGTTTCTGAACAAAGGAGCAAAGGCTCCTTCATGTCAAGATCAGTTTCTAGCTAGATTTCAAATTCTCCATCAATGGAGAATCCCCATATGCATATCTATGAGCTGCTCTATAACAGAAAGTATTCAGCACAACCTGCTGCTGGGAATTAGTCTCAATTATCATGCCAAGATTTAAGAAAATTGTTTGTTACGCAAAAATAAACTAGGCTGAAACTAGGATAAGATTACATCAACTCTTTGAAAGGTTTGCAGAACTGTATCTTAAAAAATATCTGAATCGATCAGATGAAACCCTTGATAGGGAAAAATTAGAATTAATTAGGATACAGGTAGATACTGCAGCCTTAAGAAATACATCAAGGTTGTCCCCATGTGACCTTGAAGGAATCGGTATCTCTGAAGACAAACCCCTGAAGACCTGAAACACAGAGGCTCCCTGGCCACTAAACCCGAAGCAACACGACAGCATTTGGAAATGGAGGTGAGACTACGTCAAACCAAAACGGCAGCTACGATAACAACTGCATTCTGTTATTTATTGTGCTATTAAGCTCTTTACTCAAAATATTGCTACATTCTCAGTCTTCAGGACATCTCAGAACTCGGTATGAAGAACACACATTGCCGCCTTCCTGATTTTGTGATGGTTTTGTGTTAATAAAACAGAAGCTCTCATCACTCACCTGAAAAGGTAAAGATTTCACACGACTTCACAAGACAAATATTGGCAGTTCCCACTATACTACAAGTAATTTGAAAAGTGTTTGCTTTGTTAAACTTTTGGATCATTTCTCTTCATTAACCTAAATGCAAGCGTTCAGAACGTCCCAAGATACACCTTTGGGAGATATCCGATTTAAAATGATGGGTCAATTTTTACCATTTTCTTCGCAGCCATAACAACTAGGAGAGTTTTATTTATTTTAAGTAGAAGCAGACAGCGAAGAAAATTTGAGAGCACGTTTCACAGTCAGAAATACATGAGTCTGTGTACAGGGGAGAGAACAATGAAATCCTTGTCTTTGATGTCCCTAACGGAGAGAGGACAAAGAACCATTTCCAGTTGTAACCCTGGCTTGTGACAGTCACCTGTGTCTTCCTCAAAGGAACCAAGATCACAGCTTCACCCCAAGGAAAGCAAATGGTGAGTTACTTTTAGAGAGTATTTTTAATGCCTCTTGGTTACAACCCTGAACCTTAACAACTAACTAAGAGGTTAAATAAAAGGAAAAAAAAAGAAAAAGAAAAAAAAGAAATGTCACTGAATATTGTTTATTAAGGTAGGAAGAGGCAAATTAAAGTGTTTGCAGTTAAGGAAGAAGACATTTATTATAAAATCATCCCAATCCAGAATGCTGGACAGCTCTTTACACAAATCTCCTGTTTGAGTGAATCCTCTCATCACTGGGGCAGTTTGAAAGAGCCAATGTCACTATTAAATCTATCAAAATGCACCATAATTAAAGCTGGAGCACTTTGGTCATTCAGCCCACAGCTCTAGACTGGGGATGCTTTTTGCAGCTTGTCTATCAGAATGCAATAGTGGCCTCAGGGATTCAGCTAACTAGAGCTTCTGCTCTGCAACCCCCGTGCAGCGATCTGCGAGAGAGACTGTTTTGACTAGTCCACATACCTGTGATCAGGAATTTTCTCTGCCAAACCAAAGTCCCCCACTATTGCTGAGTATCCGTTCTCATCACGTTTTATTAAGCAGTTCTGGAAAAGAAAAAAAATAAAACAGAAGACCTATTGTCTGTGCACAAAACCTCTACACCGCTTTGTTTATTTTCAATCTAGAAGAAGATTACAAGATATTGTTTGAAAGACATCTCGTCTATGAAAAGCTTTTGTCTAAAAGCAACACCCGCCTTCCCCCGTCCTCCTGCACAGTCACGTGCCTGTCAAACTTACAGATGCTGCAAACAGCCTTAGATTTGGGTAATAATCCACTTTAAAACTTGCTGAGACAGCAGGCAGCCACAGGCAGCCCATATCCAGCTAGGTTCTAGCAAGAATTAAGATGATTTAGCCCCCTTGCTGTTAAAATATGCAATACATGCTGTTCACTGTGACTCCCTGAAATTTCCTTTTATAGTTTGCCTGGGCCTGAACAGAATACACAATCAGAGCACACTCTGAATGCCTTTGTATGCTTTGCTAAATTAGCTACTTAAAAATGAAAGGAACTCATTGCTCTGCAATAGATTACCATTAGCAAATACAAGATGTGGGATCTCTAAATGTCTTTTTAAAGCCTCAAATCCAATTCTTTATTCTACAGCACATCATAAAACATAATTTAAGCAAAGCAGCTAATAGAGGAAAGATCTGTCAATCTTTTCTTTCCAAATGCTTCCCCTCCAGTGTCAGGAGGAAGGGCAACTTAAGGACACATTCAGATGATTCCGATCCGGCCGGATTGTATCACACGCAGGGCATTATTAGTTTAATTTTATTTATTTACAATCCTGAGAAACATGCTTTGACCACTCCAGTGCCGCATGGTTTCGCTCTGAATGAAGCAGCATCTGACTTCCCTAGGTTCTTCTGGTCTGCAAGGGTAGGGAAGACAGAACTCATTCCTACCTCTGTATCCTCCTGCAGACAGTGACGGGCAGCAAAGTGCTGACAAGTACTGAGTGGTGCTTTAATTAGCTAGGCAGCTGAATCCCACCTCTGTTTTTATTGTGCCTGGCCATACAAAAGCCCCTCATTGACCTCAAAGCAACTGCTTGTTTGTGTAAGGCAGCTACTAAGAAAAGGAGATCCTTTGGCTAAAAGATCAAGTTCAAGCCATCAGTTTCACATATTCAGAGATGAGTGTGGCCCAGGCCACAAAAACAAGGTTTCTTCCTGTCAATTAAAAGGTTAAGTGAGATATTCTTGTGCTCACGTAAAGAAAACGCACCACGGGCTCCGGAGGTGCAAAGTTCTATTTGTTTAGCGTGACTCAAGTATAAATACAGCTAGTTTGGGGTTCATAAATGTGTACAAAGTTTACTCCACACTCCCCAAACAGCAGTAAAGCTTCTCAGTTATGGGCTTTGTTATCTTCTATCAAAGAGCACATTCATTCAGCTTGCCTCTGTTTAAACATTTGCTCACTCTAAGATGGACTTAAATCCAAGCAGAATAAAACCCTACTGAAAGGCTTACTAAAACGATTCCAGCAGAGGTGGAATTTCCTCGTGTCCCACACAGAAGCAAGTACACGAGGGCATCAGAGACTTCACAGGCTACCAGAACGCCAACATTAGTTTATGCAGCAGAATGTCAGATTATTTTCTACCATTAATTATTCAGCAGTTAAAGATGATCCAGAATTTGACATTTTTAAAAAAACAGTGCTATGATGCATAGATGAGCTACTCATAAACCCCAGATTTCCTTCCTGCATTAACTTTGTCCATTTACATTTTGTTCAGTTTGCACAGCAAGACTGCAGTAGTTCATTTACCTTCTGGCTTTTGCGTATTAAGGTTATTCTTCTGTAACCCTGCTTTTGCAAATGTTGTGGGGGGACATTTGACTTCCAACTAAGAATTAAAAATCCACAGAAATATTTCTATTGAGTCTAAGACACGCAGTGACTTACAGGACTACTTTAATACAGGAAGAAGGCTTAAACGCGAGATAAACATGACAGCAAAATTTTCTTTAGCTTCTTAACCTTATACAATCATATCCCCTTTGGCAGGAATACATCAGAAATCTAAGACGAACAAACTTCCCCCATCCTTGCCCCAGGCAATCTCAGCTCTCAGGTGCAGCACTGAACTGTCAGACAAGCAGATTATTCCTTGATAATTCACAAATTAAACCAATGCAACATCCAATCCATTCGCCAGGTAATGCTTCCTGACAGCTCGGAGCCCCTTCCCACCCGAGCCGGAGGAGCTGTGCCTGTGGAAACAGGAAGCAAAGGGACACCCCTGTGTCTGGTGGCTCCTTCGGTCCCGGGGACCCGCGGAGAGCCTGGCCCATCACGGCAAGGCTGCTGCGGAGCTGGGCAACTCATCGCACTAAAGAAGGGAGCTATACTGTTCTATTAAAGGCAGTCTAACTTCTGTCTACCTATGGAAAGGCTACTGAGTGTGAATTTAAATTCATTGGAATTAGTGTTCTAGGACAAGGGTGACTATCTTGTGTACACTGAAATGAGCTGTGAGCGGATGACACACACCAGTCTGTCACAACGGCTACAGGTGCCACTAGAAGTGCCCATTGGAGTAAAACTGACTTGATCTAATTCAACTGGTGCAAATGTATGTAACTAGGCACCAGTTTCTTGGAACCCCCAAAAGATGGAAGGCCAGTCCTAATGACATCAGTAGTAAACCCTTTCCACCTAAGCTGGCGTGCCTACATGTCCCCTTTCAAGCCGACGCTGCTCATTTGAGATGAGGTTTTGCAGATGGGTGATGCTTCATCTGCGCTGAAGGGGACCGTGTGAAACATCACCACTCTCCTCCTCCATCCCTCGTAAAGCCCTTATGCAACAGAGCATCAAATACACAGCACAGATAGTTTAGTTACCTGATTTAAGGTGCAAATCATGAAAGAGGCTCCTGACAGCCCACAGTCAGAGGTAACTGGTAGTTCATGTGCCCTCAATGACATTTCTTTACACTCACTTTCTATTATCAATATGAATGAGGATGAAAAACAGGCAAAGCATCATTAGCAACTAAAGGGCTGAAAAGAGCCTTTTTTATACTAGACATTTTAGTAAAAAGAGCACAATAAACCACACTGCACTGCTACTACTGATAAAGCAACACCGACCAGTTTCTAGAAATAGACAGAAATGTGTGTCATTTTGTTATGAAGAAGTTTCATTACTGGAATTTGGCACAGATAAGAGTTCAAACACCCCTCTCCTAGTTGAAAGCTGCAAGAAGGACCTGTGTGAGGAAGCGCCGAGCAGCTTTACAACACGGGCTGTAGGAGAACTCGTCCAACTTAACTACTGCACTGTTCGGGTAAGTTTTTCTTCCTGAGTAGGGACCCATCAGTCCTTCCTGAGATACTCTCATAATAAAAGCAAAGAGCTCCACACAGGAGCCCTAAAGAGTTAACAGAGCTGTTTATGCAGACAGATGTGAGAGAACATAAAGCCCCCTTTGTACGTTACAGGAGCTTAACATCTGCTTTGCACAGCATAATCCCACTAAGACAAATGCAATATTCTACTCTCCCTTTTACATAAACAAAGGCAAGAATAGACTCCAGAGTTGCAGAGTCAAAAATAAGTTGGTTAGATGAAGAAACCCCATCTTTTTATTTTTCAATATGACCTAGTAACTAAGCTCTTCAGAGATATTATCACACATGAGAAAGTGCAAAAAAGCTACTGCAGTCTTGTTTGCATCCCTCTGATAACTCGCCAAATTCAAATGCTTAAAGAGCAATTGGGATGTATCAGCTGTTTTTAAAGCGCTATCCCTTAAAAAAATACCACTGACAAGTAGATGTACGCCTGAAGTTTACTTTAAAAAAAAAAAAAAAAAAAACGAAAATCAGTAGGTTTAAGGGACAAGCTCCATTTAGGTCCCATTTACCAGTAACATGTTTACTAATATGACTGTCATTAGAATAATCATTTGCAATAGCTATTTTTTGCCACGCAAGCCCTCCCCTGCGTTACAAAATATCCAGGCGGGCGCTCACTCCAGCACAAAGAGACCTTACAGCAGCAGCAGCGAGGACAGGACGCGTCAGACAAAAGTTCTGTTCATTGCTTGGGTTTTATTTCCCTTTAAACAAGCAAAACAGCACACAGGGTACAAAGTAAGGGCATTTTACTCCAAGCCCAGGAGCAGTGAACTGATTTTCCATCAGTCTGCAGAAACTGCTTACTGTGGGGGCAGACATCCATGTAACAGAAACAACTCAAAGAAAGAGGGATGGGCCATTACACACTTATGATGAAATGAAAGCATATGTTGGCAGGAATATAAACACACACGCACACACATATACATATATAGGCCTAGAGATTAGAATTTCTTCCGATTTTATCATCAGTGGAGCTTACAATGTTCCCTAGTGTTGGCTTTGTTTTGTTTTTAGTTTCAGCTCATACAATTCAGCTGCTCTGGAGAACAAACCTAGAAAGAGGTTATTTCATCTGTGTTAAAGGCAACTTTTGAAAAAAATGAAAAGAAGAAAAACTACCCTATGGCTTTATATATGGATTTGACATGTTCTCCACTTGAAATGTGACAAGGCCTCTATTAGATGCACGTTTTATAACCCCTGCAAAAAGTAGACTAGGACAGGACACCTGCCAGGAGCAGAATTCAAAACAGGGAGTAAAGTAACTGGCCACTGAAGCAAGGAAACAGCTGGAGCACAAGGGCTTTGCAGGACCCAAAATTAAAGGGCTCAGAAAAAAAGGTTAGGGGAAAAAGTAATTAAACATACGTTTATTTTGACACAATAGTTGCGGGCATAGCAAAAGTGTGCGGGGAGAACAAACAGATTTTGGAGCAGCAGAACAGAGGGAGAGAAATGGGAATGGCTACAGAAATGGCTAAAGCATCCTGGGGAAAGGAATGGAGAGAGAGCGTTTGGATAAAGCACCAGTAGAAACAACAAAAAGAGGGTAGCACCAGTCAGCTGGGCAAAGAAATTGGGCAAGAAGGGTAGGAGTAAGAACCTGAAGCAAAAAGAAGAGAAAAAGCCATGGAACAAGGATGAAAAGCCTGAATGGCAACTGGCACTGTGGGCAAACAGAAAGGACTGGATAGGCACAGACAGGATATGGTCAGCCTTGGAAGAATGAGTAGATTCCTAGCGGAATTTCTCTTCTCACTACCAAGGAGTCTCTCCTATTCTTCTCCCTACTGCTGCTCCATTGCAAAAAGAAGATGTGTGTAGAGTAATACTACTTGCTGATAGCAGCGCTAAATACTAACTAGTAATACTGTGTGTATTAGTTACAGAATTAAAGCAGCAAACACCTCTGCAGTCATTCTCCAGTTTCTAACTCTGCCAATGAATTGCACAAGCCACTGCTTTATTTTTTCTTTTTTTTAATAGGAAGTTGCACACAGAATAACCTACATCAAGAAAAATAATATTGCACTCAAAAGATAGGAAGCAAAACATTTTCTGAGACTTTTTTTGTTTTTCTCTCCCCTCTTTAAGCATATGCATTTAGGTAAAGTCTTTAATTACATGATCACAGAGCCAACTTTCCACTGGCCACCCATGTGTTTCAGAACTCTTGCCTCTGAAACAAGGAGGTGAAAGGAAGGCCAGGAAAAGATGAAAACAAAAGATGGAGCTTGAAATAAAGGTCTTTGGTCCTTCCCTCTGCATCACAGGAGGATGTGGGGACGAGGAGGCCAGTTTAACAAAACCTTTCAGAGGCTCTTGCTAATCTTGCGCTCTCTCTGCCTGTAGGGGTCAAGCTTGACTATTTTATAAGTGCAGTAACACTTCTAACTGCCCCTGAGGTCAGTGAGCACATTGCTCTGAACTTAAAAACAAGTGGAAAATACAAAATATTTCAAGCAAAGACCTAAAATGCAAACTTAATATTTATTGATATTCTTGATTTTAATCTTTGTTGGTAAAATTACATTTGCTCATCTCCCTCATCCCAGAGATGATATAAAAATAAATTCACTGATACTGCAGCAGTCACTGCTATAGGTTCCCAAGGAAATTAAATACAGCACAGCAAATGAGGCACAAAGGAACTGTGTAGTAATGAGATTTATTCTGAAGGTGAGGCACAAAAGGTTTTTCTTATATTCTTTTTACAGAGTGGAAAATTATTTTCTCTGCTTTCCCCAAACACAAAATTAAAACTACAGGTAAGAACAGACAGAATGTTGCAAGAACAAGTCAGATTAAGAAAAACTTTTTCATGGTCTCTTGGCTCCTATTCAAACACCTCTGACATTTTGCAGAGTGATTTCTGTTTTAACAACTGCATCTTCTTTGACTAAGGCTCAGTCACAACATAATACTTCAGAATCACTGGAACATGAAGAAAAGACTCTCGATTATAAGACCCAAATCCTCCTTTGCACACTTTACAATAAGCACAGAAGAAAACACCATTCACAGCACTCACAGCGATAGCGATGGGGACAGGGAACAAGCCAAGGAGCCTGGTCCTCCCATATGATCTGTGGCTGTAGCTTTAGGCTCTACATTAATCTCTTTATGGGAAGTCAAAAGTGAGGACATCATATTGGCTTACAAAATGTACGAGGTGTCCGGCCTACGCTCCTACAGAAAACAGCTAATCCCAGCAGCCTGATTCGAGTGCGGTTGTTGCTCTTGATCAGGGTAGATCAACCCATCAGCTAGAGCAGCCCACGGCCTCACGACACCGGGAAACATCAGCCTTTGCCAAGCGCTCGCTGACACAGGGCAGCGGTCAGGGCAGAAGCGGGATGCGAGGCCTGACATGCCCTGGGGGCTGCCACATTGACTATACTGACCTACCTCCGCTCCTCCCTACCCTTCTTCCCTCCGGCCTTCTGCAGGATCAACACAATTTTGCTACTCTCCATGCGGTGCTATTAGGAAGAGACACCATCTTGCCAGATACTAATTGTTCAAAATACTTATTTTTCGATCCTACAATTTTTTTTTCGGAGGGGGTGGGGAGAGGGAGGGTTGCTACGACTCCATTTTAATCCTTCAGCCTTTATGCAACTGATACCTGACACACTAATGTCAGATCAAGACAATTTGCCTGCCATAACTGATAAACTTCAGGCATTCACAATGTCATCTGCTAGATGAAACTACAGAAATCAGAGGTTAGCCAGAAACAGGGAGAAAGGCAGAAAATGAGGTCTGAACCCACCCAGAATCATTTTCGCAGTTAAATTATTATTAAAGGGATGTTTTGCAGTGGGCTGTTTGGAACAATGCAACTTCCTTGAAAGTTAGCCAGGAGAAGGGCACTTCTGTTATTTGCACAACAGTGTCATATCTGCCCAAGAGTAGATTTCAATTTTTTAAACCAATATTTTCATTTACCAATATTTTATATTTCACCAATAAATAGCATACCATTACAATTCGCAAATATCTGGGCATTTAAGGTTTCACCCATATCACCTCCAAAGGAAAGAACAGAGAAGAACCGAGTGCATACAACACGTCAAAAATCAAAGATCTAGAAATGAAGTACAGCCAGCTACTCAGACATGTCACACTCACCTGGCAGCTTTCAGTGTGACCCACAGATACACTTTACCTTTATTACCTTTAGTACTAAGAGCAATCCCAAGACAACTCATAGTTAATTCTTTATTTTTTAAAATAATCCTTACTACTTCACATGGTCCTAGATGACTTTGCTGTTGCACTAAAACGATATACTCCTCTTGCTGGTGCATTTTCTAAACAATGACTTAGACCATTCAACAATAGATGACATTGAAGCACTCCTAGGGCAGTTCCTAAGAACAGCATAAAATTATGCAAAGCTCTCAACAAAGGCATTCACAGAGGACTCAGGAAGTGGATTTTCATATGACTAGCCACCACAGTACACGTTACGCTGCTAGAACAGAGTTCCTCTTAGTGACTTTGGTTCCTTGCACTAACTGTGCCACCTAGTCTTTTGAATGAACTAAAAATTATCGTGAATTGAAAAAAAAAAGTGGAATAAAAATTATATTTTCACCTTTTTTTTTTTTTTTTTTTAGGCATCTCTTATCCATATACTCTAAGGTGACTGACATGAGGCTTTCTGAGCACATCATGTCAAACTGACATGACTCCAAGCCTGGGCATTTTTCACAAAGCTGATAATTCTTACCTGCAGATTTCAGCGTTTTTCATTTGAAAGGACAAATGATACAAACAACTTGCCTGAACTCTTAAAGCGTGTGGAGATCCCAGTTTTTGTGATGCAGCTATACGAATAATGCCCCAGATCACATTTTATGTAACAGCACTTATTCGATGGAAGGAGAGGGAAGAACCAAACAACCAAATAGAGTACCTCCATTTAAAAGCTCCTTTCAGTCTATAAATGGTACCTTGGATGTAAGGTCCCGGTGGAAAATGCCTTTATAGTGAAGATAACTGATTCCCATAGCAATGTCATAAGCCAATTTCACCCTCACTGTCCAGGGCAGATGCTGGTTACTGTCTAATAGCTGTTCCAGGTTACCATAGTTGATGTACTGAAAAGACAAAACAACATTGTAATTAATTTTTAACTTATTATCAGGAATGTTAAATTTATTGTGACGCAAGTCCTTACCTCAGGTATTCATTAAAAAAAAAAAAAAATCTTTTTTTTCTTTCGTGCATATCCGCAGATCAAAAGAAACAGAAAACAGTTCCCACCTCTCCCAAAACATTCATTTTAAAGATGCATATGACAGCCACCATTGCATTAGCTATAGTATTTAAATACTGCAGTGATAGACTCTTCAGGAACAATTACAATACAATATCACCCGTTCATTTCAGTGTGGAGAAAACAAGGCAAAAAGGACGCAGAGTAGGTTCTCAGGCATAAGAAGCCAAAGAGAAGACTGAGTATCTAGGCCTAGGTCATGGAGCCTGATCAAGTCTCCAAATACCGTTTTTCTAAATTACAACAGCATCGAAGAAAAAATGCTACATATTGTTTTGAGATATTCTTCTTCATTACTGTATCTAGAAGTTTCAGTCAGCAATCTGTTTCCCACTGTGGTCAGTACTACACCAGCTCCATCAAATGGAGCCAACTTCATAAGAAGTAGCTTACATTAAATGTAAAATTAAGAAACAGATAAAAGAAAAAGTGAAGAAAAGCAGCAGCCAAACAAACCTAAGTAACATAACTGAGGGTTAAGAGGTAGCAGCTCCTCTGCTTCTTAGAAAAAAAAGCCATTACAACCATTACAATACTGGGCTTACTCTGTGTGTGTAGACCACAATAGCAGCTACTCAGTGTTTGAGTAGCTTCTCATTTCACTCCCAGCCCCAGTTCCCTCATCAGCCGCAATGTAAACAGGGAAACCTGGCTGAGCTGGACAGGATAATTCTCTCCTAGGCCTGGTCCAAATAGCTCTGGGGCAGGCAGCACTTTGACTCTCTGCACCGGCCAGTTCCAACACGTTCTCAAGAGACTTTGTGTTTTCCTGTGACATCCACCAGAACAAAATGTTAAAATAAAAACTGTAACTGTAGGTATTTTTGTTTCAGAAATTTTGAACACAGCTGTACCTTGTAGAGCTTTCTGCCATAGGGGCACAGGGGAGAGGTGACCCACATGCTCACATGGTGGAGATAGCTAGTCTCTGAACGGGGGCAGAGGCTGGTACAAGCAGTCAGGGAGCCTCTGCTCACCACCTGGACGGTCCACAAAGCCTCATCCTTACAGTCAGGTCGTGTCTCTTTCTGAGCTCATCTGTTAATTTTGAAAACTCTTTTTTCCCCAGCAGATATGCAAGTTTTATCGGTAATTAGTTAACAGAGCTAAGCATTTGGGGTAGATTACGCACAAAACCTTAACTGTCACAAAGTTTACCAGGAGAGGGCATCACAAAGCAGCATGAGGCTCTACAACTTCCCTTGGCTACACTGTACATCCCTTGGGAACTGAGGTCCTCCAAGCCCAGGCCCAGCAGAACATTTTACTGGTAGTCCAAGCTGCGATCCATGTGTGTCTCCTCCCTCAGAGGAGATTAGTCAGCCACTTTCATTGCCCTTTCTAGACCAGTCAGGAAGTTCACAGGCAGCACATGGAGACTGTGCACAAACTGTTCTCTCCCTCCCTTCTGCATTCACTTTTCTCCTTTTATATTTGAACCTTTGGCCTGATCACGGTGTGCCGTCCGTCTGCCTTTCGTACTTGAGCAACAATCAAGGCGAAGGGTGAGATGAGGAGCTACTCCCCTGCACTCGCACGTTCTTCTGAGAAGACTCGAAGCAAGCTCCTATCAGGGTCACCTTGAAGCCGGTATCAACTACCTGCTCATACCAAATAAGGCAATCTCGTATAACACGGTTGGGATCTATGAAATGCTCCATATTTATCAGTTTCTTGTGACCACTTGAAGACATTCTTTCATATATTTTGCATTAGACATTAACAGTGGAGAAAGAGTGCAATGGTAACAGGAAAGGATTTCAAAACAAGGCACAGAGAAGTAGAATTCTTCCTCCTTGTACTGGCCTACTCAGGAGCTTGTGCTCACTACATATCATTTTGCAAAATGGCTAATAGCCTCTTGCCAAAAATCAAGGTAAATAAGATTTAACAAACTAGCGATAAATGCTAAAATCCTTAGGACTGCTGTGTGCCAAGTGCTGCAGTGTGAGGGGAGGTTTCATTGGTTGCTTACACTGGAAACTAGAAATTACAGGTTGGTTCAAGCCAGAGATCTAAAATACCCTAGCTCTGATGCTTGATGCTTGCATGCCAGAGGAGCACAGTGGCTCTGGAACAGGTTACTCTGGTTACAGGTTACAATCTCCATCCCTGGAGGTTTTCAAAACTCAGTTAAGGGCTGTAGCTAGTCTTACTTATGTTGGCAATGACACTGCCTTCAGCTTTTCCAACTTTGATCTTTCTTTCTCTTTGCTTTTACTTGAACCCCTATGGGAGATAGATGACCTTTTAGCTCAAGGGAAAAAAAAAAGAAAAGAAAAAAACCACTGCTCAGAAATATTTGATTATTTAAATCACAAGATGCTAGAGTGCTTAGAGAATGGCAAGAGGTATTTACATTAGCTTCATATATATATTTCCGACACCCCGGCAACAGAAGTAACTGCATGAGCAGTACTTCTTATCCAGTTATGTTCAAAACAGGGCAATACTGACAACCCACAACTGAAGGAACAGGTCACCTACCTCAATAACCCCAATGATAAAGCAAAACTGGTCAACTGGTCAGTTATCTCAGACCATTTCAGCTTTCTGAGACGCCAACAGAGCCTACATGTTGCACAACCACATTTGAATTAATTGTCGAGGGAACGCAAGGGGAAGGGGAATTGCTAAGCTGCTTTGAGATTTGGTTTAGGCCATAAAACAATGGTAATTGCTCCAGAAATGCCTTTTAAAAAAAAAAAAAAAAAAGCATGCAATCTGTAAGCATATTGAAGCACACTGAAATATATACTGAAATGTGTCAACAGTAGTTAGCTGCTATTTATTTCCTTTTCAATAAAGTAGCCTATTGGTTGGATCTTTTTCTCACACTAATACATCTAATATATTTATTCCTTAACCATTCTTCCAGTCAGGTTGACCTGTAGTTGAACCTTGCAGGGGAGCTGCCCTGCAAGGCCCATATTGTAGCACAGGCTGGGCAAGAAACAAGTCACACAACGCAGCATATCCCCAACCCTCCCTTTATCCCACCTGTACTCAGAATCTTGTAGGCTCCTACAAGCTGCAAGAGCGGCATCGAACTCTGACATGTAAAAAGCCTCCTAACCAGATCTATCACCTGCCAAGTGTTCAGACATAATTTGAGAATTTTGTGTTTGACTCATTTCTAGTGTAAGCACAGCAGATAAATGCTCAGGTGAACAAGGAGACTAAGACTTTCCTACAGGCACCTTTACAATTCCAGCTGACCTCAGATTTCAACTGGCCTGCAGGCAATATTTGCATGCAGAGTCCTTAATTTTTAGGACAAATCCCACGCAGAGCTCAGTGTTCCCTCAGTGTCACGTAAGTAATCCAATTCTTCCGGCCATTCAGGCTGATAATGCAAAACAGCCAGCCTGATGGCCTGTTTTTTCTGAGTCCTTTAACAATATCTTCATGGAGCAAACACAACATTACAAACATTATTTCCTATTTGCCAGTGCAACTGAAAAAAAAAAATACTGTTTTCAATACTTTGTTTACCCTGCTGGTAACAGAAATGAGCTCTGTGGGCTAAGAATATCCAAAGAGATAATAAGAGCACCTTTCTCTAACAGAAAACTAGATTTTATTTTGCCTCTGAAACATTTCAGTGCTGGTGTTTTCGGGCAAAACCAGTAAGCCTGCAGCACGCACATCTTCGCACATCTTCTCAAAGTGTTATTAGAGTGCAGCAACAACAGGCATTACATAAGTGTACAAGCAATTGGAGGAGAGATCTGATCAGGCTGCAAGAATGAGAGCAAAGGACACTACATTTCATAAACAGACCTCGCAGCTAAATGGAGCACTGTTCAGACCTTTTCAAATCCTGTATCATCAAGCTGCAGTGGAACAGCTACTTGTTATTCCTGTCGCTAGCTTTTTGTCAGGTAGCAGACGATGAATAGTCAGTTTATCTGGTTGCCAGAAACTAAAATTAACTGTTTTGGGTTGTTTATGTTTGCATTTACTCGACACAACACAGCAAATTGAGAATTCACTTAAAAGACCCTGTCATTTTAACTCACAAGAAGCACTGTTTTCATACAAATTTGTTCATGGTAAGAGCAACTCATGCTTTTGTTGCTAGACTGACCAGAAAAATCCTATTTGTTACGTCTGTTTTTGAAGGGGCCTCAACCTTACAAGGAAAGAGGTCAGCAGCCTCTCTGAAGGACAAGTTACCCGGCAGCTCGGCCAAGCATAGATGCTCTCTAGATCAGAGACTCTCAGAAGGGCTTCTCATATTATAGCTTTACACTATAGCACAATTAAACCGTATAACCCTTTCCCACAAAATGGAGAGGACATGGGGCGATCTGTTATGCTATAGTAGAGAGAAAACTGCTTCCTGGCAGGACAACTGCAGTCACATTAACAGAGCCAAACACAAAAATGGAACGAGATTCTGCCTATAATGATACTTATATTTCACTTACATGCTTAATTTTGAGAGACTAATACAGAACTTAAGTTTGCAGACTCTACCCTTCAAAATTCTGAATAAAGGCCTGAACACAAGAATAGAAGAACTTTCAGGAAAAAGATGCATCAGAATTGTTCAATTCCAGCACTTGGTGCTCAGAAACATGACGATGTCAAACATAGCCATGTTTGAGCAAGAACACAAAAAGGAATGGCAAATAGCTGCAATAGCTGTTTTGAAAGCCAATGCTATTTCAATTTGTAGGTCTAAAATACATAAGTCACCAGATAACTGCCCAGGAAAGAAAAAAAAAGGTAAAAAGTTGCCCTGTTATTTATTCTAGCTTGAAATGTCACTGCTTCGCATAAGAAAAAATAAGGAAAAAAAAAAAAAAAAATGTC